ATCAACGATAATTGCTGTGAACATGATCAGTTATTAATGTTAGAAATGGAATACATAGGAAGTACAAGTGTAGAAGGAATGTATGCCAAGCCTATCATTGATATGCTCATTATTCAAGGACCAATGAGAGACGGTGGTCGAAGTGATCAAGTGTTCGAAACTTTGCTGAGCATGGGATACAAGCATAAACACGGAGCGCATTACCTTAGTCATTCCCACGACATTTTGATAAAAGTAGCTTATTCCGAGAGAAAGCCATATTTACTGTTCGCTCTATTAATAAAAATATATTTTTTTTAGAAAGGATTCATAATTCATATTGTTATGGATTATGCATTTACCCACTGGAAAAGAGACAATCTGATTGCATTTCGTGAATACCTTCGTGCTCATCCTGATGCTCGTGATGCATATAGTCAACACAAGAAATCTTTAATAGCAAACAAACCTCATTTGACAATCGCAGACTATGCAACAAGAAAGGACAACTTCGTTAATCAATTGTTTCACCAAGCTAATGAATGGTACAGACAGAATGAGAATTATGTCCATATTGGTGATTTCGATGAGGTAAAGAATCAATGGTCATGTTGTAAAGCATCAAGGGACGAACGAAACAGAAAAGAGAGAGGCTGTGCATCAGGCGGACCCAATTCTATTGGTTGCTGTCAACCAGGACTGCAAAAAGACAGCTATCATCCAGGGAGATTTTTGAGTGTAGAATATAATTTTGTTAAAGGATGGTGGACATGTTGTTCTCAAGGTCATTATGCTGATGGATGTGTCAAAGTGAGATTACTATCTAATGGAGATGGTAACGATACACTGAAATATTTTTCTTGAGATTCATTGATTTTCTCGTTTTAGCTTTGTTGAAAGATTGTAGTCAATGGGGTACCGGTAGTGTTTGTCGATGGGTGAAGTCATTGAAAGATATTAATAAAGATTATTCAAAAGAGTTTCTCAAGCACGGTATCAACGGCCACTGTAACGATCAATAAGGCCCTGACTGGCTTGATACGTCATGACAAACTGAATAGAGGTGGAGTAGCTTACCGCCACTCTCGGCAATGATGTTTATTCGCTTCTTCACATATCCAGAGTGTAACAATTTCATGCATAACACATGTATATATAGGAGAGAGATAGAAGAGAGACAGAAGAGAGATATATTAGAACAATTGAAAGAGAACAGAAGGAGGAGGAAGGAGAATCATCGAAGCGTGCCATCAATATCGGCACAGCCACGTTTTGCTAACATATGTGGATGATGTTATTCTACAAGAATTCGGTGTATTGACAATTTTACATCGAAGATTATTTCTAAAAGCTATTGCTGAATTAAAAGACAATCCATGAGTACCTTAGCAATGGTAATAACTTGATCTATCTATAGACTGTTTTTTTATTTCAGTTCATTGTGTCTGCGAATTTTTGCAATTGAGATAAAAAAGAAAAAGCAAGAGTGTGGTTGTGTAGGTATGGATGTGGGTGTGGCTATGAATGAAGGCAAGATTAACAACAACACCCACACCCACACCTAGCAACAAAAAAAAATGCATCAATAAAATGTGACTTATCGTCGACTGAAAATATGACTGGTGCGAACCAGAGATGTGCACCGCACCCAAAAAATGGAGTGGGAGCGGCGCGGAAGACGATGTAAACCTTAATGCAGTAGCGGAGGCGGCCACCGCCCACAAACCTCTTTGAGGAGCGGCGCGGCCGCCTTATGATACCTGGAGAACTTTTTTCTCAGTCTTTTTGCAACTTTATTGCACTAGCATTTCTTTATAAATAATGCTTCATTTCATGACAATTACCTATGAACAAAACTACACAAGTAACAGAACCTTTAAAATATACTCAATTTTACGAAATTTAACTAGATATAGATACTGATATGTCACTGGTTTCTGTATTAATTTGTTTTACACTTAAATTATGGTAAATTCAAGTTCATGATTAATTTACATCTTATGGTTCTTTCGATAAAGTTCATCAAATTTGAGATACCAATCAGCTGAGTATTGTCGTGACTGTGATTTATTTGGAGGCACAATCTAAAAATTCAATTATACAGACATAGAAGTTGTCAATTTTTAAAAGCATTATCATACTTTAAATTCTTCTAAATTCATTTTTAATGCAGATTGAATATGATCTTTTACTTTCATAACTTGGTGAGGTGCTTTTTCATCAATTTTGTCTAATTTTTCAAATAACAATTGGTTGTTCATTGATGTTGATCGACTACTGTCATTCACACATGACAATTCAATAATTAACTGATTATTACCATCATCCGACATGTTAAAGATTTTCAGAAATCAATATAATAAATAAGTGAATATTATATAAGATCCGATGAATCTAGAAAATCACAAAGATCAATACTTTCCCTTACTTGTCAATATAGACAGAAAATCTGATGAATATTATAAAAAAAGAAAGAAAGAGCGAATTAATTAATACTAGAAGAGACTTTTATTGGTATAAAATATCGACAAATACATCTATACATCTGTAAAAAAAGGTAGAAACACAAAGAGAAGAATAAATGCCAGAGTGACAATGTAGACGAACAAAAGTTCACCCCAATAGAACGATATACTATTTCAGAGAAATAGACAATCGCAACGAACAATATATCTAGTATGTGTGACGAAAAGACTTCAAAGAAAAAGGAAAAAGATATAAAGGCGTAGTCTATAACGTGTATTATAACTACGAGGTTCAAACAATTAAGGGGTGTGGGTGTGGTGGAACTGAAGCAAATCCCGACACCTACACCCACTCACACACACCCCACACCCATACCTACACCCACATCCATACCCACATCCACACCCACCCTGTTCAAGTAACATTGTGCTTCTCTCCATAATATTTGTAGCTTATAAGTAACAGAATCCTCGACTGAAAATTTAAAATACTCGTGCTATAATGGAATTAATCAAAGATACAATACACTGCATCGACGTCTATATAACATCAATTTAGGCAAACGATTGATTGGTCAAAGTCAACATAGCAAAGAGCGGACACGAACAAGACACAAATAAACTTTTGTACTTGACTGCATTCCAAACATGAAAACTCGGATTGGATCAAAGTTGTTCTTGAAAAAGCTATGTGATTAGTTAAAAATTCTGCCTTAGAAAACTCATAAGACAAAACCTAGATATAGAAAACAGCTTGAAGAGTGAAATTGAGGTCAGAGAGAAGGTTTGGTTGATAGATGAGTGTCGAAAACGTCGGAGTCAAAGAGAACGCGAAGGCTTGAAGACTGGCTGGGCCAATAGCTACTATCCAGGAAAGTATATGATCGAATCCACTGCAGAAAAAACGGAACTTAATGAAGAAAAAACTGGAGATGAACATGGTTGGTAGATACTATACCTCAAAGCATACATAACCATGTTACATAGTTAATCTGATATTTCGAATATATACGCAAATACGTCACTGTAGAAAAATGTACATACATGCATAAACCTAACTTATTCGTTTTTTCCTTTTGTCACTCCTCTAAGTAACGGGAATATACTATTTAAAAGATATTCGATGGCATTAAATATTTTGGAAGCGGTTTACACAGATTTTAAGTATGCATCTCTCAATACCAATTGTGCTCAACCCACAATGGTATTGACGCGCATTGATATTAATGATATAGTTATTGTTACGTCCTTGATTTTTTTTCGAAAAAGAAAGTGTTTTACATAAGAATCACGACTTGTTATGAAGTTTGATTTTAAGTAATGGAGATTGAGGAATCTGAATCTGCAATTAGTTTCTTAGAGTTCTGTCCTTGAAGCTTCGACTAAAGAAAGAGATTTTTGAAAGATTTATGGTTGGGTGTGGATGTTGTTAGTCTGTTGAACAAGACTAACTCTTTCTAGATAGATTTTTATTCTACTTTCGTTTACTATAAACAACATATGTGGTAGGAGTTTGTGAGCAATGATAAGTCTGGCAGAAGGAAGAAGAAGGTAGCGGCTCGCAGATATTGCCACTACCTAAGAGATGTGGGTGTGGGTGTGGATGCCAGGTGTAGGTGTAGGTGTGTATCATTTATTCAATCACACTCACACCCACACCTGTTAGGTAGTGCTGCTATCTGTGAGCCACTGCCTTCTTCTTCTTTCTGTCAGATATAAGATTGCTTACAAACTCGAACTAGATATATTGTTTATAGTAAACGACAGTAGAATAAAAATCTATCTAGAAAGAGTTAGTCTTGATCAACAGACCAACAGCATCCGCACCTGCGCACACACCCAACCTCAGACTCACTCATCGTCACACCCTCACCCTTCATCTATGTTCTTTGTCTTTTCAAAAACTATATTTGAATAAACTGTACAGTATTCATCACATGATATTTTTACACATAAAAAAATATTCTAGATTGAAAGCGTGTAGTTAAAGCTCAATAAAATATTCTCATTCATTCATTTGTAATTCTTTTTTGTGTAATTTTGATGGTCATGGAGATTATATTTGATGTTCCCTCGTTGGTGTTCATGGACATTCGCACCATTACGCTGTTGAAACAGATTCAGATTAGTTTTTTCTGAACCATGTTCGCGTACTTTTTGTCTAACGTATTGCTGTTTCGATATTTCTTTTTCATTAAGATTATCGAGTCTTTGATCAGTAACAGCTTTTCCCATTTTTCTTCTCTCCATTTGACTAGTCAATTGACTATGCATATTAGATTGTTCATTGTAGGCTATTTGGTTTTTGAGAATTTGTTTGGTGAGAGGAGCAAGATTTTGATCAAGCCGTTGGATACTTTGTTGTACCTCTCTGACTTTTTGTTCACAGGTCTAGATTAAAAAAAGAAATGAGGTCAGCGAAGTTACTTTATGTTTCTTTTACGTTTCTTTCGCAATCATTCACTATAGAATGCACGAAAAGACTTTCCTCTGATTATTGCCCAGTTCAAAAAAAGAAGATGAGTGGATATTTTTTAAATATCTTTTGATAAAATCGCTGTAGAAAGCTGCGGTTTTGATCGTTGAAAAGAGGAGATAAAGACGCATCGAATGGTCTATTATAGATTTCTCTAAGATGTTTTCTAAATTTTTCTTAATGCATTTTCTGAAAAAATAACGGAAAATCGATTTCACTAAAAATAAGAAAAAAAGCAAACAAGTGATTTTTTTTATAGAAGTTGATAGGAAAATCGGCTAAGAGTTTCACATAAAATACATATAACTCCAAAATGGGTAAGCGTTAAAGCCTGGGCCTTGCGTAGTTTTAAAGATCTTCATTTAGCGATTCGAATGAATACCTGATTTTTGAAAATTGGCCTTAGTCACCTTACTGAGAATTTTGGTTTTCAAAAATGTTCATTTAAGTTCTTCATAAAACTAGTTCAAATTATTCTGTAATATACAGTTCGATGCATCTCCATCGCCTCTTTTTTAACGTTGCAAACCGCAGCTCTCTACAGTGGTTCTATCAAAAGTTATTCAAAAAATACCCACCCGTCTTTTATTTTGAAATGGGTAGTAGATAGAAGTTCTCAACCAAGGCTGAGGATATTCATTGTTACACTTCTGTTTAGCGAAGTCTTTCGGAACGATTAGCGGAACTTTAGCTGGCATACATGTAACCAATGAACGCATTGTTTTGTTCTTAAAATCCCGTAGTACCAATTCCAGTTTGTGTGTTTGATGGATCTAACTTTCGAAATCTTACATTTTTGAGCATCTGTCCTCTTTAGAATAATTACGGCTTGTTTAACTCACAGAACATGTTTTCTTTATACAACAAGTCAACGATTTATTCACTTAACAGTCTCAGCATGAATTGTTAGTTAGAAGATAAGAGTTTGTCTTGGAATTAACTCAACACCGAGTTTTAATAGACAAGCATCAACGTACAATGCACTGATAACAATCTAGTTAGTTTAGTCTTAAGGATCAAGTAGTGTGGATCGAGACGATTCACTGAGTCTCTTGGCTGTACAGAGTTTCCCCCCATTGAAGTGCCTGTTTCTCACCCACAGTAACTGAGCTGAGGTAGTGTACCCTTCTGTCTGCCTTAATGTCCTCCGCGATGATATTGCAATTTATTTTGACTCTTTTCTCCTTTTTATTCTTGACTAATTTTTTTACTAGGAAACAATATTGGGTTGGTTGGAGCAAATTATAGAGGAACTCCGGAAACCTCTTATCGAAGCGGACAACACTATTTTTCGCCCGTACGACAGCAGAGAAAACGATGACCCAGATAGCAGTTAGTCTGCGGACAAAAAAACAAACGAACAGTCATTTTCAGGATTTAGATCCTGACTACAGTCAAGGAAATTTTCTGACACAGAATCGTTGGACAGTATAAATCAGCTAGAATACCTGTTTTTGCTCATCTTGATCACGAAGGGTGTGGGTGTGGGGTGTGGTTGTTGGACTTCTCTTCTCCCAGGTTCACATCCACATCCTCACACCTACACCTACACCCACGTCCTCACACCTACACTCACACCCACACCCACACTCGCACCCCACAGCCACACCCACATGCAAGTATCGAGATCAGATTGATACCTTTTTATTTCGATATTGTTGTGAACATGCTCGACTTTCTTATGAACAGCTGGCGAAAAATGACAAATATGCGACAACTTTTCTTGAAGATAATTAAATCGAAAATATAAACGAAAGTTAGGCGCCATGTAGTCAGCTTATGTGCCAAACAACTTTAATCACAGCTGATTGTAGATAATGAGGGGGTGTGGGTATGGGATGTAAGAATGTGGATGTAGGTGTGAAGAAGACTCACACTCACACCCTACCCTTTTCATCGATAAAAAAAATAGCAATTTTATTGATCTATAGTTCGATAAAATCAATATTTGTTTTAAAATTTAAAACTGTAATAATTTGACTGTTGATTGAGTTTTACGATGGAATTGTCATGGAAAGCGAAAGTTGTTTTTGTTCTAAATTATATTTTATTTGACTAACGATAGTAATTGTTGAAGATATTTCATCATTGGAATAATAAACTCGATAGATATGATAATTATTTTGATTTGAAATTAAACATTCAACTTCTCGAATTGATATTGGAAATGTATTTTGTGTTGATAAACGAGTCGTTTTAACTTCAATCAAATCAATTTGATTCTGTTTTCCTTTGAGAATCATTCGAATATCAAATGGTTGACCAGATTCACCATCTTTATTGATCCACTGGATTTCTCTATCAGTATATTTCCATTGAAGATATTTATAGACAAATTCTTCACCACGACGACCGATGATAATATCATTTTCATTGCTACTTGATGTAACATTTGTAGAAGTTGGAGAATTAGGTAATGTTTCAGAACATAGAGTCACATTAGTAAACGTTGAGATACGAATCTGTTCAAAGTTGATGCGTGCTGGTGAAATGAAATTTCCTATAGTGACTGACGTTATTTGATGCTTAGCCGATTCGCCACTTTCATTTGATTCCGGCTGAGTTTTTACTAAATGAAAGAATAATCAAATCAAACTAACAAATACTCATGAGAGAAACAAAAAAATTATTCTATACCACTATAAATCCAATTCGAAATCGATGCATATTTTGACAAGTTATATTAGAGATTTAGTTAAATAAATAGGAAACTTGACTGTAAATGAATCATATCAACGTTGGTGAAATATTCATTAACTCTTTGATTAAGGATTTTTTTCTACTAACAAAAAAACTTTTGGTTCAACAGAAAGCTTAAAGTAGATTGTGTATATTTATGCTGGTACTACACAATGATGTTATGATTATGCTAGTGCAATAGCACTCCTGTAACCTAACTAAGCGATAGAATCCTAAATGATAATTTCACTCTATCATATTCTGTAGCGATCTGCGATACAACAACCACAGTAGAGTAATTAGATTTCGCGTACACACTGCCATAGCATTTGATGCTACGCCTCAGAAGTGTAGCGCTATGCCTCATGGGTAGAGGCTTTCTAGTTTAAGTATAAAGGCATTCTGCCTCAGTAACATTCTGCACCGTACTGCTATCTTGTTAGAACGAACAAGTTTTTGTTACACCACGAAGTCCGATTTTTATAGGATGTACTAAAACAAGAATACTAAAAAATTGTCCGATAGGACAGAATACGAAAACCTATGCTGTTTTAAACTCTACGGAAGCAGAAAAGTCGTAGATGTATCAAGTAACCTGAGATAAAGCTCAGCCCGTATATATACGGGCCTAGAATCAAAAGGTTAAATATGGGTTGAATTCTCGATGATAACAATTCTTCATTCTCGAGAAATTAAAAACAAAACGTTGAATGAGTTTCTTTTACATAATGTAAATCACAATGATATAGATGAAATCTTACTGTCAACATGTTGTTCATTCTCTCTTGATTTAACTTGTTCGACATTTTTCTTTTCATTAGTATGTTCGTTGGCATTAATTGTTTTATCAATTGTCAATGAAGCTATTGATTCAGATGAATTTGATATATTTTGAGAAGGTATTTGGTGTGTTCTGTTTCCGTTGTCAGATGCATCTGTCGATTGAGTATTTGTATTAGAAGTTTCAGTAACAACTCCTGAACTAGGTTTATCAGGAAAACAGGTCAATATTTTCGATTGATTTGGATCTCTCGGTACATTTGGGTTTGGGATGGGCAATTTAAAAGCGGGTTCATTCAATAAATTTTCTAACATTTCTGATGGAATAACGATAGATTCATTACTATTTACTTCATCTTCATCTTCAGTCAAAACAATCGGTTCTTCTTTAATAATCTGTGGAATAATCCACTTCGATAATTGTTGTTCTGAAAGATTTTCTCTTTGTTTATTGAGACCATCTAAACCGTTGTCTTGATAAATTTTAAAAAGATTTTGAATGTATTTTGAAAGTTTCAAGCGATTTGTTTCATCCTGAATAAGATAATTAACCATTGTGTCAATATGACGATTCTCGGATTTTTCATATTTATGTAAAATATAAAATTTTCTTGTTGATTCACCAATATAGCTATCAAGAACAGAAGATAATGGCGATGTTCGAGTTATATTCTCTTTATATCGGTATGATAAACGAATTGACTCAACTGAAATAAAACTCATTTGGGAGAAGATCGATTGAAAGTGATTTGATCGATTTTCAGATATATATTGATTCATTAATAAGTAATGTTGAATAAGATGAATTGAATGACTGTAAAAATCAAGCAATTCTTTTGCTGATTGCTCATTTTCAACATCAATTATAACTTGAATAACATCACTAAGATCTTCAATATTAAATAGTGAACAAAATTGTTGTTTAAATTCATGTGAATGTTTCAAATCGTCTAAAAAGAAAAATGAATATTTACAAAAGCTTTTTTTAATCATGTTTGATATTGAACTAAACTCTAAACGGTCAATAGGTACCGATATACTTTAGCTCAAACAGAACATTCGAATAAAAACAAATGGTCAAAATGAACATAGTCTTGACTGAATGGCGATTTAACAGCTTTAAAGTATATCTGAAAGCGATTCCATGCTTTTGTGGCATTGTTGAAGCATACCTGATATTTTAATGATTGGTATAATGTCTGAAAAAAGATCAGCAATAGCTAGATCATGTGGATAATAGAGTCGATCAGTATATTTGGCTAAATTGTCTGTATAACTTATACAAGGAATAAATGTCCAATCACAACATTTATCTAAGACAATTAAAAAAATTCATTTCTATATCTTTTCGTTTTACTTTTCTATACCTTTCACCATTTCTTGTTTATTTTGTGCAAATGCTAAACGTGTTATGACTCGAATACATTTCCATATATATTGAATATTTTTATCGACAAGATTATTTAACAATGGAAGATAATCTTCTAGTGTCGGTTGTTGTTTTACTTTAAATACATTAACAAATAATTGATGCAAGCCAGGAACATTTCCATAGTATGTTTGTAAGGCAATACATTGAGTTGATTGATAATGAAATGTATTTTCTACAGTTAATAATGACTCAGGATCATGCCAAAAAACCTCATTAGCATATAAAAATTCACCGATATCGGCAGTTCGGGGAATAAAGATAAGTGGCCATTGACGAAATCGAGAAAGATGAGTTAAGGTCTCTTTATCAGCAGCAAAAAGCATATAAACTTGACGGATATTATTTATTGTATCACGACAAGATTGATGCATCGTTGTAGACATTGTACAAGGTATGCTAGACGAAAAATAATCAGAGACTTGAATTCGTTCAAAAATATGACTTACATGTCATACGATTGATCTTGATTTGTATTAATTAAATTCCATAGTGAATCACTATCAAGATAACAAGACCATTTCATAAACAATTCAAAAATAGTAATCGGAAGAATTTCGCGTTTAAATCCAAGTAAGTTAATAAAATTTTCATTTTTTAATGGTATTTTTGCTTGATCTAAACAAGGAACGTAATGATGGAAAGAATGATTGACTGGCAAATAATAGACATCAATTGGCTTATAGAATTGTCCACCAATGACGGGTATCCATGAATGTGTTCTCAACAACAAACAAAACGAAGATTCAACAGCCAATACTGGTGTTGGATTTCCAGTATGCTGATCACGAGATCGAATAACTGATGATGCAAAAAAATGTTTAACTAATTCAAAACAATTGTCGAGATAAAGCAAAATCTGAGAATATTGTTCTACACTAACATTATCTTTTGACAAAATCAGTGCATCAAATTCATCACAACGATTATCTTGGATGATAAACGGTTCAAAAATTAATGTCGATAATTTTCCAATAGTATGACTCCATTGTGTTCCAACAAGTTGTTCAACATTGATAAATCCTAATTAATAGATTAATGAATTTATTTCTATTTTTGATAACTTACCCTGTTTTACTCTTTTTACAAGGAAAAAATCGTGAATATCAAGTTCATTAAGAAAATTTATAAAGTGATATCGTTCTCGATCTTGATAAAATAATTCTCTGTGATATTGTTGAAAATAATCATCTGAGATAAATGTAAATTGATGTGTTGATAATTTTAGGGAATCAAGCGACGCTTTACATCCATAATATGATGTTAAATGAACAATATTTGGACCATTTGAATTAATACGAATAAATTTACCTTGACGTACTTTGATGATTAACATACTTTTTAATTTCTCCATTTCGCTTGCAAAATGATCAGGTTTAGGAGCATAAATTTCTTTATAGATAAATATAACATAAGCAATAAGAACAGAATCTGACTTAGCCGACCATTGACTAATGTCTGATATAATCGGAACCATATGGTTGAAATAAATTCTTCGAGAGTTACGCGATTCACTTATACCTACATAATAAAATTAAGAAACAAATATATTTGAATCAATTAAACACATTAGTATCGGATCTATTATACTAGAAAAGTACATTTAGTGATTGAATTTTAAAAGAATCTATTTCAGCCTGAAACACTTCGATTTAAAAGAATTAGTCAATCATTTTTTTTTCTTGAAGATACCTATCATATACAGATTTATCTAAACATCAAATGTTCGTAATATCGAGTAAGATAAATATCAAAATGAAGAACATTAAAAATATCTCTTTCATAGAATTATTCATCTTTAATAAAGTAGTATATCCATATCTTTCGTTCTCATATGACGAAATATCACAAAACTTTCAAAGTACTGTGTTGAAGACAAAATAAATCCAGCGGTTTGTGTTTTCATGTAAGATTGAGATACAACGAACATTCAGGAAGACTCCTAATTGTATTCATAGATGAGCATTTTCAGAAAACTTTTTCTATTGGTCTATGAAAAATACACATCCTTATTGTCTTCATCTCGAACATAGATTATTATACATTCTCATGTGGAGTTATATTTATATCGAAATTCCTTAAGACGAGCTGCGAATACATTTCAATGATAGAGCAGATGAACTGATTTTTTACCAATGATGGAGACATAGTCAAGCTTCACATCCATCACGACATTGCTAGAGAGACTATTGTTTAAATACGTTGGTTTTTTGAAGCCAATATAGGTCTTCGAAACAGAGATGTCTATGACGGTGAAAAATCTGCTGCTGCCGCGACACACTAATAAAAACTTATCGCTGCTGCGCCGCCACTATCACACCGGTAGCGGTGAGGCAGTAGCAGCGTCAGTGATTGCACAGACATGCACATCTCTGCTTCAAAAGATATTCTCTCTAGCCTTATTTTTGTAGACATGGAATTCGAACATGCCTTTACTGGTGATATAAAATCAATCCATTTTCTCGAAACGTAGCAGAGATATTCGATTGTTTCTCGGCTGTATGACTAATTCAAACTCGGTCGTGCGACAAAGAAAATTAGAAATAAACGAATAAATTTTGTTTTGTTTTTTAATTTTACCCAAATCTTTAAGCAAACGTTTGATTGATTCTAGACGACGTGGATATTTTTTTTCAATATAATCAAGTAATCGTTCATCAATAGTCGGAAGATCTTCAAGAACAATTTTAAGATGTTTAGCATAAGAAATAGATTTATCTAATGGAAAAAAAATGGCTCGTTCTTGATATTGTTCAATAGACACTAATTGTGTTTGATCTTTTAATGGAATTATTTTCATTTGTTTAAGTTGTTCAATTGTTGTTTGTTCTCTTTGATTATCATCATCAATATTAAAACCAGGCCTTTCTCGTTCTTGTTGTAAACTATAATCAATACATAAAAACCATTGAGCAACTAGAATTATATATATGTATTTATTATCCAAATAATTAAAAAAAATGGTAAAAAACAGACTTTGTTCAATATTCGTTGTTTTAGTTGTATGTTCCTGTTCATTTTGTGTGTATAGTGATCGAATAAGTCGTAAAATATTTGAAAAATCTAATTTTCGACAACCTAATTTAATTAAAATTGATTGATCACATTCATGAACAAATTGTTCATTAAGATAATAATTTTTAAAATGTGAAAAAAGTAAATCTGAAGTAAATATTTCTTTTATAAATGAATCTCGAACAAAAACACATTGTGTTGGTGAAATCCATTGAATTGTTTGATTTATTTCATCTATAATAACAGGTAATTGAATAGATCCCATAAGTCCTTGAATACTTTTATCAATAAATGAATTAAAATAAGGATCAATATCATTATATGTTGGAATTGTTTTAATAAAATATTTTATTGTTTGAATTAAATTTAATGATCCAATATGATTTTGAACATCAATTGAACAAGTTTGAAGAATATCTGGTAATATTTTAAAATATTCATAAGCTAATGGAAGAAGTTGAATCATTTCTTTTTTTAACCATTCATTCCAACCATTATCACGTAAAATTTCTTGTCGAGTTGCTGGAACTTCAAAATCACCTTGAAGAATAAAACGAAAACCATATGAACGAAGAGGTAAATAAGCAAATAATGGTTGACAAGGAAGATTTTCATATGATGATTTTTCATGAATATGATCCAATGGATAAGCTATTGCTAGTGTTGTTGATTCAGCATCACATTTAATATCACTGAATTGCATCTAAATAAAAATAAAAACAAAATTATTTATTTGGAAGTTATAGTTCATTTTAATAACAACTTTAATATTAATTGGAAGTTGAACAACTTTTTTAACAACAAGCCAAAAACTTTTAATAATTTGTTCCGATGTTGTTTTCTTTTGTAATTCAATAATTTGACCTTGAGCATGATCAATTCGAGTAAAAATGTTTATATCTGTTTGATTATTTCTTTTTTGATCAATTATTTCGATTTGCCGAAGACGATTAAGAAATAATAATAATCTTGCATGAATATCATCAAATTTTCTTTTTGATGAATCAACTCGTCCGTCTTGTTTTATTGGCAAACGAATGCATGTTTTCCATTCATTTATTAATGATAAATTTTCTTCACAGTCATCTAACCATATTGGATTAATATAACTCATTTTGTCCTTTTCATTTTTTGTGTCAAAACAAAAATGATAATTGCCAGAATGAATCTCTGGTCGATGAGAGACCATAAACACTGATTTGAAACCAATACCTTCAATATTATTGCAAAACAAAAAAATAAACAAATAACTTTAGTTAACGTATTCGGTTGCTCCAAATATATGTTAACCTTTGTATTAAAAAACGAACATTTTAAGACATATTTTTAATTCAACAGAGTTAGATTTATTATTATATGAGAAGCAGGAGCAGTGTGACAGAGGGGATGGAGAGGCACCCTTCCCTACTGTGAAAAGTTTTTTCTTGAACTTTTTCTGGTATTGACAATTTTGGTGAGTCAATTTTATGCAAATTTGGGAAACTTATTAGGCAATTTTTTTCAATTCTTGAGAACTTTTTCACAAGAGCGGCTAAGTTACGCTCGAAAAAATCAAATAATTCTTATCAGATCCAGACATATCTGTCGCTAGTATCACAGAAGGTGCTTGGACGTCAAAGACAAATGTACCTATTTTCTCATTTCTCCAAAAACTAGAAACACATTAATGATTGTACAAGATTAGCTTCTGTAATTACATTTTTCTAATGTTATTGCACATACAAAAATAGTTATATCAAAAACTGAACAAAGAATAAAATAAAAAAAGAGTCGGATTTCTTTTATTGTAACTTTTTGTCTA